GTTCCCTGAGTAGGGAACGAGACACTGCGTCCTCTAGGTTTCTTGCCATGCTGCGGACGCAAGCTTCAGACGAAGAAGTGAATGATGTGTGCTCCCGGAGCCTATTTATACTATAGTCGCACCAGTAGTGACGTCATGGCTGTCGCCGGCCAACGAGTTGGTGTTTTTTTGTATGCTTCAGACACGGGTCACGACGAGGCGTCCCCCATGGCGACCCCTAGAGGACGCAGTGTCTCGTTCCCTACTCAGGGAACCATGGTTACATAAGTAACCTGAGACGTTATTTTGAGTCTCTTGGAAAAAATATTCTGCAATTGTTTGTTTTTTTTCTCAATTTAATTTCTAACATGTTATGCTTAATTTAAAAGCCTCCATACATGACAATGTATTCTTCAGCTGCACTGCTTTATACAAATCTAAACAGGAGACAAATAGGAGAAATAACAGCCTTATTAAGAAACCAGTGTTTGTTTAGGTCCACCCAGTGATTTTTATTTTATTTTTTATTTATTTATTTTATTTTTTTTTTAAGCTACTGGCCTGTTGTCTTGCAAGTAGTTTTAGAAGAGCATTGGAACGGTTAGAGCCCATGCTGTAAAATATTCAGTCTGTTTTTGTTTTGTTGTTGTTGTTTTTTTCTTTTTTTCCCGAATCATAACCAAAAGGTGTTTATTAACATTCAGAAAATGTTGACCGTTAAACTAATTATTTTAACAGTTGGATACTTAAAAAAGGGATGTATTTTATGTTTTAAACTTGCTACTTTTTAAACTTTTTCTTAATAATATTCAATGCATTAAAAAAATGTCACATTTTAGTAATACTTGAATGTTTCCTCATTGTTTTATCTCATCTCTCCGCAGAGAACCACATTCTGGAAGATGTGAATAAGTGTGTGATCGCCCTGCAGGAGGGGGATGTGGACACCCTGGACAGGACAGCAGGAGCAATCCGGGGCCGAGCCGCTCGTGTGGTACACATTATTAATGCTGAGATGGAGAACTATGAACCTGGCGTCTACACGGAGCGTGTTCTCGAGTCCATCAAGCTCCTCTCTGAGACAGGTAAGAACAAAGATCACACATGCACCTGGGTCCTGATCTCGTCTCATGCTCACTAAGGCATGAATCTATGGTAGTGATGGACAGAGGAGACCAGGAAGCTCTTGGAAGAAGGAAGTTAGAGGAGAGAGGGATAGACAGACGAGAAAAGATGGTGAGGCCAGAGATACCACCTGTTCCCTCCTCTGGCACTCATCCTTTGCTCATTCATTTTTCATCTGTTTTCCCCCAACCCCTCCACCTTTGACAGTCTAGTGCCAGCTTTCAAGAGGCGGCAATTTAGACACTGACAGACAAGGCCAAGGGCCAAAATATACCAAGTAATGCAGAGATTTGTGCATAGCCTTCCCAGTGCTTTCAAGACACAATATCTGACAGGAACCAAAAAGGCTGCTGTCTTAGGTGTTAATGTGTGAGAAACATCTCTCAGCCTGACACTTTTTGATGTAGTTGTTCCGTCTAAATGCACTTCTACGATTGTTCGGAATCAACAAATGGAGGCTGGCTGGAAAATGAGCACTCAAAATATTATTCTGGCGTCGGGGCTTTGTCCTGCCTCCCTTGTTGTGTCTAAAACATTACATTAGACTATTTTGACAGCTGGCTTTGTTTAGAAGAGTGAGCGGAATATGAGAGGAAGAAAATAACAGTCCTGCTTTAAGGGTTGGTGCTGCAATATTTTTGTTATCATAAATTACTGCTTTAATCATTTTATTACATCTAGTTTGACAGTAAGGACAAAATAAACAATGAATATTTGTGACTTCTGACCAGCTGAATGTGTCCAAATTGATCTTCCCTAGTTCTTCTCATTATCTTCCACTCATAATGTTTTTTGTTCCTTCACATCGCTAGAACATTTAAATGAAGCATTTAGATTTCTCTGTCAAAAACAGCATTAAATTAAGTCAAAGTGACGTGATAATGAGTGGTCTGGTGATTTGACTTTAATCACTTTAGTCAGTAGTCACTTTACACTCAGATCCGATCCGCATGGTCATATATTGAGCTGCATTCATATCAAATCGTGTTGGTGCGTTTGCATTGTATCCTGATTTGCATAGTTCTTATCGCACTGTCAGTTGGAGCAATTCATTCTTAGTGAATTTCCTAATTTTTGTGTATTGTATCATTCAAACCTTGAATTGAACATGCCTCTATTAATCCACGTTGGAGAGTTGATTCCATCATCTGTGTTACACTGCTGCAAAATGAGTCATGTACTTCATGTCACTTATCCACTGAAAAGTATGAAACATTATATTTAATTCGCCGTTTCACCTACCTCTTAATGAGGACCAAACACAAGCATTTCATAACCGTCTTCAGTAAATTGAAAATAAACCACCTACTTGTCTTTTTTTATATAAAGGGAGCACACTCTTTTCCGGAAATCACAAGTTGAACAGTTAATGCTCGCTCAGCTTGAATGTAAAAAACTGTTATGCTAGTTGCTTCAGCAAAACCAAGAGAAATATCTGCATGCTCGATTGAGAGTGATAATTTAATTGTGAAAGGGCTAGACGCCCAGACTAGCTCTCATCTTGTCTGTAGTCACATTGATGAGGTGGTACTTTTCATTTGATTTCACTTTTTCTCTGCTTTTGTCTTTGTTTTGGGATGTTGTTGCCACCCAGGGCTGTCGTCAGGGAAAGGGGTAACTGGAGAAGTTGTTCCAGGCCCTTTAATGAGATGGTCCCACTGAGTTCCTCTGTAATATAGCCTACTCATTAGGCCCAGGGGAGGGCGGGCCACCCATAAAAATGTAGTCCCATGCCCTGTGAACTTAAGTGACAGCATTGGTGCCACTGCATTAATGGAATTGAACTATAAAGCATTGCAGCATTGCTTCTTCTAGACCTTTCATTATTGCACAAGACTTGGCATGCAAAATTTCAATGAATTTTTGAAAGTTTGCAGGTTTAGGCCAGACATAGCGTTGGGGTGGGGGCTTAGCCAATTAGCATATTCGAAGTGAATAGCATCTGAATGGGTTTTCCATTTAATTAAGATGTTTGCCACTCAACTAAGTGGCTTTAATCAGCTGAATAATGGAGAAAATTTACAGGTGTAGTGTACAGTTCCAGTGGGCAATTGGAGTAAAACAGCAGGTACTGCTCTGCAGTTTTGTGTCACGACAGATGCTTTTTTTTGTCAGTTTGAATCACTCACAACTCAAGGTCAGGCTATCATGCTAATGAATTACTAAGTTAGTAAAGACTAGCTGTTCCATTTCCAACCGTGTCTGGCACTTTCTTATCAATTTCTTCAACTTTTTGGTTTAGTTCCTTATCGGCAGATGGACATCTTTTAGCCTAATTAGAACATAAACTTTATCCTGTTTTTCCCCCCAAGCCAGTGTACATATAACAGAAGTGCAGCTGGTCCGAAGTCTGTAAAGATACACCGCTAAAGGACCTTCAGCACATAGTGCTCACAAATCTCGAATCGTGTCCTTGAGCTTGAAAATCAATAGTCTAATAGCAAAGCTGTGATGACTTTCCCCTCTCTCTTTATCCTTTCCATCCTCTTCCCGATCCAAACTAATCTTCATGCAGGAAAAATTACCTCATCATTAAGGTTATGCTCAGGCTCCCAGTAGATTAAAAATGAGAAATATGGCTGATGTAATAGTGCCAAGTAGAAGGCAGCAGTAGCAATACTGTCATGGAGTATGGCAGAGTGAGTAGGGCTCATGCCAAAGGGTGACCATGCAGAGATGAAATATGGCCACCTAATCACTACCCTCCGTCTAACACACACACAGACTCACACATGATTTTTATGGCAAATATAGTGTTTCACTGACAGGTTGAAGGCCATGTTTGCTCAGGTACCAAAAAAATAAATGATTTCATACAGCCAAATGACCCCACAATGACCCCACAAAAACTTTCCTCAGCATGTCACGACCCAAGAGTCTGCTTGGTTAGACACAGGAGGCAGCGCTTGTAGAAACAACAAGGATAATAGAATTAGTCAAAGCCTGCCTACTACAATGAGTCCAGTATTTTGTTATTGAAAAAGAAAACATAAGAAAAAATGCAGATCCTAAAGAAAGGGCAGTGCTAACTAATTCTACAGCCTAAGGACCAAAATGTAAGTGAAACCAAAGTACAAGTGACCTCATTGTTGTCAAAGGAATTCCTTCTCCATTTCAAATTACTTGCAGTGTGTTGTAAGACCTATTAGCATTAGGAATGTCTCATTGCTTTTTCAAGTATTTCATTTTGAGCCCATTAGGCTGGTCCGACCTCAGCCTCTCAAACAGAAAAACCCAGTTTGAGCATGCATTATACAATTCACCTCAACATTGTGCAATATCTGAAAACACCATTTGAAGGCTCATAGAACAGATCTGACTGCTTGCTTGCTTTATCTGGAGTTAAACACTTAAAGAAAATAATCCCTTCCAACATGGTTTTTATTAGCTCCTTTCATCATTTCTCACTGGCCTGAGTTAAATTTGCTCCTCACTAGCAGCAACTTTACTCATTAATGGCTTGAAGAACATTTAAATATTTATATTTAAAAGTCACAGCAAAATTCCCCTAAGCTCATTTTACGCCTCTCCAATAAGTGGATTAAAATGAATTAAATATGTATTAAAGCAAGATGGGGTTAGAAAGAAGAAAGGAAATCAAATAAAGAGCCTTTACCGCAGCTTTTTGAATGTTTTGCATAATTTTATATTTCTTAAAGTATGTATTCATTTGAAATTCAAATCTGAACTTGTCAATTTAAGAAGGCAAATAGGCAAAATGGCTGTCAGAGAGGATCCTATACTGGTCCCCTTTTAAAGTTAATCTCAAGTCAGATGCCTGTAATCAAAACCATCATGAAAAATCACAAGTCCAATTTTTCCCTGGAGATCTGCATCCGCTATTATTGTGAAAGGCTCTCTGGGCTTTGATTTGGTTAGATGGCTGAAGACAGCACTCTAGAATTTTCTTGTCACAGTAGTGTCCTCATAAGACCCACATTCCCCACGGAGAAGTGTTCCTTGGGTCATAATATCCTAGTTCCTGGCTTTTAAAAGACTAGAGACCTTCCCCTCCTTGATACATTTGTTGAATATTTTAAGAGCATCACTTTGGAGGTTGCTCAAGGGTTTAATACGAGGCTTTTTACTGTGCCCATCTTTTTTTCATCATCCACCAAGTGGTCCTAGGCATTGATATGAGTGTGACTTGATGTCAGGGTTAGATCACAATATGGTCTCCCTCCACCAGTGACATTGCCATGGAAACGCAAGACTTCGGATATTTCCCCCTTCCTCGTCGAGTATGCAGGCAGGTCATTCAGTGTCAGGTCTGGAGGTTGAGTGTAAATCAGTGGGCTGCGGAGCACAAAGGAACATACTTTTTTGTGCAGTCCAGTTGGAGAAATGAAATGATCAGCTCTATTATTTACTCTGGAGTCATCAAGGTTTAAAGCTTAGGATTCACAATAAGGTTGTCGGAGCCCTCTAAAATGATATTAACATTTTATATTGACATTTCACATAAATTAAATGTACTTACAAGTCCATTCACTGTCACGATGTAGGTTTAGCCATAAGTATTTTGTCAAAACGGTTACACCAAGGGTAAGTGGTCCGAACACCTTTGTACAGTGTAAACGCTGAAACACGGCTCATCATGAAAACAGATCAAACTGATGTCACATTAGTAGACCTTTCCCAACCCTCTAGCTGCACTCAATCAATGTCTGTCAACATTGTTCGTACTCGACTCTTGTCTTCGTCAAACAATCCCTTACTGCAGCCAGCATTTAGTGCCCATTACTGAGGAACAAGACGGAGGGTGAATTGAAGGAGGGTAAAGTAGAAAGTGACGTAATTATTATTATTATATTATTAGTGTCTAGCAATGCCTCGGCTCACTGATAGTCATGTGTTCCCAGCAAGGTGAAGTGGTTAATTGGCAAACATAGGGCGCCCCTTCCACTTATTTTCAGGGTGACATTTTCTCGTCTTGCTCCATGTCCTCGGGCCTGACTGACAGGGAGGAGACGGCAGAAATAGATGTGCCTGCCTGAATTTCGACACTTAGCTTCTTAAGATCACAGCTTTTAAGGTTTGAAAATAGTACTGCTCCCAGAGTAGAAGTGAAATGAAAATTCCACCGTTATTTGTCAAGGATTGTATCCCGCGAATCAAATCAAGATGGGTTTGTGCACAAATGTACATTCCTACTTTTATGTCTACGTGAAATCTCTATCCACTGGGATCTCCATTAAAACACATAACAAAGAACAATTTGCCAGTTTGCAGTAAGTTACTTAGCTGATTCGATCTATAGTATATCTCAATCGGTAGTTAGTGCCACTGCCGCTCAGAGTGTCTGAAACAGTGGCGGCTGTCAAGATACACTGTCTTTTCTTTGTCTCCAATTTGCTCATTAGGCAGTTGGTGAGACTGATGTTGAAACTACTGGTAGGCAGAATACAAGAAAACAGATCACATCTAAACCCCGAAAAACCTACAGGCCTTTCCCCCTTCACATATTGTTTGATCCCACTTTAAGAGGGAACATCTTTTTTTATTACTCACAAGAAAGCCAAAAGGGATTTGAAGAACAATGATGCAAGTCACTTGTAACTCAAACTGTGGGACGAATGAATTATTTAGTGAGATTTGACTGGTTTAATGGTTGACACGTCTTTATGTTGGATCAGAGGTCTTTCGCCCCTCATTGTGTGGCAACGCACAGCTGCTCCTGATGTCTGCCAAATGTTGTGTCCCAAATTGTCAGCAAGCTGGAGCTCTAGGACAAAGGACATCGGCACTCTAGTAGAGTACCTTTAAAATATAGATGTAAAGTTTAAACAAGGCAAAAGGTTGTTGACGACAGAAACCCACAAGTTAATGTCTCTCCAGACCAGTTTTGAAACTGAAAGTAAAAATGAAATATAGGAAACCTTAAAAGGAATAGCTCACTCAAAAATGTATCACTCACTGTACTCACTCTGTCATCCCAAACTCAGTATGTGCAAAATGTGAATTTGAAATAACCTACTGATTGCTCTTTTCCAACAAATAATAAGAAAAATACACTTTTTTTATTTTTTTTATTTCTTCAAGTATTTATCTTTTCAGTGAAACACCACAAAGGTGTGACAAGAATTGCTTTTTTTTTCTTTCTCTTTTCCAGACTCCAGAAGAGTTGGAAGATGACTCTGACTTTGAGCAAGAAGACTATGACGCCCGTAGCCGCACCAGCGTCCAGACAGAAGATGACCAACTTATTGCTGGACAGAGCGCAAGGGTGAGTGACTCCTACGTGACACATGAGCATCTCCTGTTCCTGCTGTCATTTCCAGCAGGTTTACTTTCACAATACAAAACACTTATCACTCCACTGAGTGTGTCTGCTGTAAAATTACATGTAGTCTCAGAATAACAAGAGGGCCAGTCACTCAAGTGCATGCACACAACAATGTGTCTTTCACTTTTTCGACAATGAGACATTATTTAGCCTCTGCTGCAAATGATGGTGTGAATGTTTTTTTGTAGATTTTCGTCCCTCAATACTCAACACTGCAGTTACAAAGTATAAAATATACATCCTGTGACGATTACACTTTACATCAGTTCTGTCACATGGCATCTAACATCTTTATATATTTATTTATTTATTTCAATATTTAACATAGCAGGGGAGCAGACGCGTATGTTAAAGTCCTCCATATATGAACATTTTAGGTCCCAGTTTAATAAAAACTCTCTGAATAGACTGTAACTCTGTAAATAAGGTTTTATTGAAGCCTATTGAACTTCCTACGTAAGGGCATTTTAAGGCATGTATGCTCTCAATGCAAAAACACAGATTCTAAGGCAGCACAAGTATCCTTATTGAAGAAGGAAATCTTATAATTATAAATCTTAATATAATCCCCCTTAGTGTGCCTGTGTCAGCCGGCATTTGACGGCAGAGCTCACTGGGTTTTGAGGCTTAATCCACATTAGTGTATGTGTTAATAGTGCACAGTGGGCTACTTATGAGACATTAAAAGAATATCAGTATGTAGCCGTGGAGTACCACTGACTCTCACACGCAAATACACACCATCACTCAGTTTGATACCAATTACTCTTGAGAGGAAATTATCTTCCATGAATGAGAGGAAATGATCATTTGTAAAGAACTTGAAAAAATGACCGTGGAAAAACATTTTGCTCAGTAGTAAACTCGGTTCAGTGTAGTTCAAGTAGCATTTTAAGCATAGATTCTGAATGTTACATTGAGTGAATGTGTTTTTGCAAATCAAATATGCGTCACTACTGTTATATTGATATAGTCTGTGACTTTAAGTTTTATGGATTTTGAGTTCTCATAAGAGAGAAATAAGAGCAGCCATTTGTTCACTGACTCACACTTTCAGACAGACACATAGAAAACGCTGCTCTATCTCTTAGCTCCATGATAGGATAACAGTGCTGATAGGTCAGCCATAAAATTGAACTCCGGTATCTAGGCCACTTTATTTCAAATGAGAAAAATTAAAAAGCTTTTCTGAGGGATTTCTAATCCAGAAGTGCGCAGACGTTCAGCACACAATATGAGTGTGTTGAATGAATCGGCACCGGTGCGTATGGGGAAGGATTTGTTGGAGCATTAAGCTGCCTGCACCCTCTCTTGTTATCGGTTAGGAGCCAGAGAGATTTGGGATAAGTGAATTCTGAGCAAGGCAAGAGGAAAAAATGTGCTCTCTTCCTTCTATTTACCTTCCTTCCATACATCACATCCACGTTTAGGATCAGAGGAGTTGGGATTAACCAAGCAGCAGCTCTTTAATGCTGATTGGCTGCTTCAAAGGTATGTAAAGAGCTGATTGGCTCTTGGGATGGGTATGTTTCTGACTGGATCCACAGGTGGTAAAACAGTGTGGTAATCAATTCCAAGCTAAAACGAGACAACCTTAAATTTAAAATTTTAACTTTAGTCATAACCAAGGAAGCATTTACAATATAATCCTTTCAACCGCTTTTTCAGATGCCATCGCACAGTTATATGGGACATTTATGCAGCAAAAACATGCTTATCCTTATATTTTTTCGGACACAGCCACCGTTGCAACAGCCCTCCATTTGAAATGCCCAGGAGTGCACACTATCTGAAAAAGAAATCATATTCATCTTTTAATCACATTTTCTCAGAGGACTTCTTTTCTTTTTAGTGTGTAATTGCTTGTTAAATAAACAAGCAAAAAGCTACAAATCTTAAATGAGCAGCTGGCTCTTAATTAGCTCTTATGTTATGACATCCTTTGGCTATGGTGGCGTATCTCCACTAAATTCAGACAAAACTGCAGAAAAGATAATCTGATGGCACAGACTTTTGCGAAACCTTCCTCGGTAATCACACACTTGATGGCATCCAGAGTCCCCTGCTTTGGTTTGGTCCGTCCGCTCTGACAGAATGTTGAACAAATGCATAATTCATTGACTGATGTAAGAAGTGAGGTAATTATACATTTATCTCACAAATAATACTGCGCCTTAACGGTGCCTGTGACCTTGCAGATAGATTAATGCCCTTTCGGACTGGCTCAGAATCGCTACAGAGCGAGAATTTATTCCTTGACAAGGAGAGGGGGAAAGAAAAGAGAATGGATTTTCTCTTTATGAGCATGAGATGTCATGGGGTTCCAGAAGGTCTTATGATTAAGTGTTAAGTTTCAAAACCTTATACAGAGGCATTTCAGTGGGGTTAAACCAAGTCAACCTAAATGGAGGGTACTTTCTTTTCAAACTTTTAACCAGAAACAAGGGCATGTGTTGCAAAAAAAAACCTTTTGTGACGTGTCTAATTGATCTTTATCTTGTGTCTTATCACTACCCCCCATAGGCTATCATGGCTCAGCTGCCTCAGGAAGAGAAGGCCAAGATTGCCGAACAGGTGGAGAGCTTCAGGCAGGAAAAGAGCAAGCTGGACGCAGAGGTCGCCAAGTGGGACGACAACGGAAACGACATCATCGTGCTGGCCAAACAGATGTGTATGATCATGATGGAGATGACTGACTTCACTAGGTACATCCATTCACATGTCAACAACAAGAATGCTGCAAACATTTAGATAGATAATATAAATGCAGAGGGTTCTTGTATCAACCTGAAGGGTTCTTTTTGTGATAAATTACATATTCATTATTCTAATTGTTTTTTTGCTCCACACTCTCTTTCCCTTTCAAAAGGTATTAATCAGTGTTGGGGAAAGTTACTTTTAAAAGTAATGCATTACAATATTGCATTACTCCATAAAAAAAAGTAACCAATTGTGTTGCTTAGTTACGGAACGTAATGCATTACATTTCTTTTGCATTACTTTTTTGTCACCTGGGCTTGCTTATTCGTTTTTTAATAACAAAAAACCCAAAAGTTATATTTTTGGCAGCTGTGTAAGAGCCCTTTCACACCAAAAATGAGATTAATAAGCCGCAGGCTGAAGGACAGGTGTGCTGTCAGTGAATCAATATTTTCTTGGAAATTTAAAAGTAATGCGTTTGTTGTAGCCATTTAAGAAAATTTATTTTTGTTTTATATTTATGTTAAAATAGTATTTGTTCATGTTTTGTTTGGGATTACGTAACTTGCGTTACTTGTAATATATTACCCCCAACACTGGTATTAATATAAAGGTACTAATATGAACTTTTTTTCTGACAGTGTAGCTGCTTGTGTTTCTTTAGTTTCTTCTGATTTGGGATTTGCTAGAATATGTTGGGGGGTTGCTTGCTTTCTGTGCAGCTTGCGTTCTGCCCATTTTGAGGAATCAGCTAATAGAGTAACAATCTGGGTTTTTGTGCTATTGCAGAGGCAAAGGCCCTCTGAAGAACTCCTCTGATGTGATCAATGCTGCAAAGAAAATCGCAGAAGCCGGATCCAGAATGGACAAGCTTGCCCGTGCCGTGGCTGACCAGGTCAGAATACCCCCTTTTTTCCCACATTTATATCTCTATGAAGATGTGAGATCAAAGCCCTGGGTTGTGTTTAATATAATGAGCTCCTATGAGGTGTTGAATTTATTATTAGATAACCATCTTCAGGACCTGCTGACTGACACTTTTTAACAGTTAATCAACTCTACTACTTGTAAAGAAAAGAAAGGCTAAAGATGTGCCTATGAGTGCGTCAGTGCATGTGTTGATGGCAGCTACTATATCATGCACCATTTGGTTCTTTCCTGCTACTGTATGTAGTGCACTTTCATGTTCTCATATGCACTTCTTTTCATAGTTTTATTTGCTCATAATTAAGTAACCATATGGATCATCTGCAGAGGCTTGGTTGTGAATTTGAAAATTGTTGGAAATTAGCCAAACTGTCTACCACCCTGCCTATTTGGGTGAGAAGATAAACTTGGTAGTGAGGGCTGAAAGACTCGCAGAGTTGTTTGTGGTTTTAGTCAAAGGCAAAATGTTGACTTCTGACTGACGGGTAAAAGCAGGTATGACGTCAGCTTCGTTGCTGTCCAACTGACAGGCCATGGTGAGGGCAACTGGTTTGTGTGCAGACACGTTTAGACTTCTATCTTTGGTAAACAACAAGGATGTAATGAGAGCACATGCCAAGAACATGACAGGGAATAAGAGAGTATTAAGAGACAAAATAAAAGGAGATTTAGACTAGCAAGCTGCATGTTGACATTGCTTGGTGGAGTCACACAGGTAGAGCCGCGGGTCTTTAGAGAAGCTTGGTCTTTACACAACAAGGCCTGCTACTGCCGCTACAGCGTTGACCGCTCAATAAATCACCCGACTCCACCTCCCTAATTAACTGCTACTCCAATAGAGAGTTGCATAGATGATGTATTTTTGTAGGCCAAAACCCAAAAACTAGCATTTAATACTACTGGATCCATCGTGTTGAAGTCAGTGGGTTTTTGTATGGACTTTTGGTTAAATGACTGTAATGATAAATGCTTCTACAACAGAAGATAACTTCAGTAATTTATTATTTATTTATTTATTTAATTATTTTAAAAAGGTGGTTGCTAACATGTGGCTAAATGGGGCTGCAGAGATTGGAAAAATCCTACTGGGAACCAGGGTGATGCTAACTTCCAGGTTGGACTACAAGAAATATATCATCACTGTAGCACTCTATAGGACTGCTATATACCACAGTACTAACTAATTAGCCAATCTTGCGTTACAAAAAAACTACAAGTTTTTGTTTTATCCAGCTGCTCTGTGCAACTTATAACATCCAAGTGAAAGATATAACACCAACATTTCGGAAATAAATAAATAAATAAATAAAAAACCTGAATCACTGAGGTAGAAAAAGAATCACCCCCCTACTAAAAATTACTTGTAAACTCAATCAGGTGTAGCTAATCACATTCTCAATAGCGCACAAAGCTATTTGACTTACAACTGTGATCAGCTCTGGTCATTTTGACTAGCTCAGCATGAAAAGAGCTTTCCTGGAGCATTTCAGTCCTTGGTAGTGCAACTGAAGCAAACAATCAACTATGGATGGCAAGGCACTGTCAAAATATCTCTGGGATAAAGTTGTGGACAGGCACAAATCAGGAGATGGATACAAAAACATTTCAAAGGCTTTATCAATGCCTAGAAGCACAGTAAAGTATATTATTTAGAAATGGAAGTTATTTGGTACAGCACAGACCCTCCCTGGATCAGGAGGTCACTCCAAACTGAATGAAAGAGCCAGGAGGAAACTGGTAAGAGAGGCGACCAAGAGGCCTACAGCAACTCTATAAGCAGCTGCAGGAATTTATGACAAAGAGTGGCCATTGTGTGCATGTGACAACAATTCTCCACAAATGTGGCTTGTATGGGAGGGTTGCAAGAAAAAGCCACTCCTCAAGAAAGGCCACATGCAGCCACGACTGAGCTTTGCCGAAACACACCTTGAAGATTCGGAGTCAGATAAGACTAAAATTGAATTATTTGGCCTCAACACCAAACGATATGCCTGGCGGAAATCCAATACAGCTCACCATCCAAATAACAGCATTGCTACAGTAAAGCATGGAGGTGGTAATATCCTGTTATGGGGGTGTTTCTCTGCAGCAGGGACTGGAGCACTTGTCAGGATAGAAGGCAAAATGGATGGGGCAAAATACCATCACATTTTTGAGGAAAATCTGCTTGTCCTCTGCCAGAAAGTTGTCATTGGGAAGAAGGTTTGCCTTCCAACATGACAATGACCCAAAGCACACAACAAAACTGAGCACACAGTGGTTGAAGGAGAAAAAGGTGAATGTCCT